ATATCGTAAAGGACTATTAAAGATAATGTAAAGGACTAGGTGCTAAAATTCTCACAAGGAACTGGTAAAACTGTAAATCATGCAGGATACGTGAGCATAAAATCTGGTGATTCCTATGATATTAACATTCCAGTTTTGACAAATTTATTCCTAAATTGTAATCACATTTTAGCCGCAATCTTCAGCGCTAGTGGTAAGGGTGGACCAAACCTACTACGGAGGAGTTCCACGAAAGGCCAAGAAAATGGTCCAATTTAACTTGGTACCGAACAGTGTGTTCACACCACGTCTAACATCTTTATCACCAATCCTCAAACGGGACAAGAATGCAACACTCGAAGCTGCACAGATAAAATGTCCGACGTTTTTTCCCCCTGTCAAAGACATCGCCAGCAGTGCCGACAAGCACGAGCCTGCGTTAAAACACAGTGCTCACAGCGGACAAAAAAGAGATCAAGTGCCATCCTTCAGAGCTTGTAATACCAAAGATGACTTCGCGAGTATGTGTTTTAAAGCGACACAGGATTTCATAGTTACCAAAGAACTGATCACAAACAGTACAACTCTGAAGTCGTTAACATTCTTTACTTTAAGAAGGAAAGATAATCTATTGGGAAATAATGAAATTGCCGAAACAATGAAAGATTTTTACACCTCTGCGAGCCTTTCTGATCACTCTAAAGAGTCTCCAGCGTTAACACCATTACTTGAGATGGAAATCTAGTTTCAGATTAATTCAAGAACTGTTGCCGTCCTTAGACTAATGAGCAGATGTGTTATAACCACTCTGATCTCATTAAAATGATATGTATTTTTTTCTTCACGTTAGAAAAGCTTAACTGTATTAAGCTGAGGATTAAAATATAAATGACGAATAAAGACGCAGATTTCTTGTCTATAGTAATATTACTGCAACTTCTGTAGTGGAATTGAATAACACTCACATAATGTCGGTAAAGGTGTCCACATGCGCTTCAGAACCACAATAAGCGTTTAAATAAAGTGAGCGATCGTAGATTGGAATAGTTTTCCAAGTTATCAAGTCGTGCTTGTCAATGGGGTATTTCCATGGCAATGCATTCTGATCCACTGGAAAAAACAACAACAACAACAACAACAACAACAACGAAAGAGGCATTTCATAAATAGTCACATGAAATGAGAATTGTATCATATTACCGCCAGTGTGATACAAGTACAGCCGGAAACCAACTCGACAAATTTGAAAAATACCTTCAGCAGTACTCGATTCATTTCTAGAGAAATACTTACAACATCATATCTTTTTCTCACCGTACATTTCCAGCTTAAGCCGCGTGGATTTAGCCAACCTTCGTTGGAAATTCAAACATTTATCTCTGGGTTTTCATTTTTAAACAGCACCTCATTAGCGCCAGCTGTTCTTCACCTCCGTTTTCTGAAGCATGATGTAATCATATGGAATGATCGATGGCTGCACACCCTCCCTTCCCTCCCCAGTTCAGTGTCTTCCATGGCAGGTTCGAATTCACTTGCAGCATACCGTAAACTGCCGTTTTAAACCCTCCTGCTTATACCCTCCCGGTTCAAGGCCCATCTACCTGTAAACAGTATATTACTTCCGATTATAAGCTCCCCTCTAGTTTAAAACGAAATGAATTCGATTAATTATGATGCCAGCTTAATCAAAAATAGGTCCACAATGCGAACTCGCGCGGGATTTCAGTCAAATAAAAGTTGATGCGCTATGAATAAATCAGAGAAATTGTAGCTTTACAGTGAATATTTATACATTTTGTCAGGTTGTTGTGATGAATGTCGAGTAAAGATACCGTAGAGCCCTGGTTATAAGACCCTTGGACGGCTAGTGGAACTCAGTCTACACGCCAAGTACAAAACACGTGACAGGCACTTTGCTCTCGTACACAAGTAAAGAAGTACATACCACTGGCGCTGTCAAAGCGTGGGAAATCCCACACAAAAACCATTATCTGAAAAGCGTATTTCAGTCAACATTGCTGCGACTCATTTTATAAGCCCCCGCCACGCCGATATAACCCCCTCGTTTATAAGCCCATGCAAAACCCCTTATGAAGTTGAATAAGCCCAGGGCTTATAAACGGCAGTTTACTGTATTGTCTCAGCTTGTCGACACAACAGTTCCCCGTACCCAGCTCATTTCTTCTTCTGAGCAGAGAAAGGTCCTGGCCATGACAAGTTACGAGTTTTCAACCAAGACACCTGGATACGAAGTCCAACACGTTCACACTAGCTCTTTTGTTTTATCTTTTTATAAGCAAATTTCGGTCAATCGATCTGACCTGCTGGCGATCGACCTGGATCGACGCAACCACTGCGTTTACGATTCTTAAAAGCCTTGAATACGAGTTCTTGAAATGTTTTTGGTCCAAGGGCGACAGCAGTCATTTTGAAAATTCTCCATCCTTTCAGATATCATGGACTTGGAGTGATGTCTTTCGAATATGTGAATATATATGAATTCCATTTGGCAACTGTCCGCCATATTTACTTGCCGGGATGGCAAAGATGGCGAGCTTAGTAACCAAGCTCTAGCGGAGTGAATATAGCGTCATATGATGAGCTTTTCGACAAATCAGAATGTCCAATTTTTATATTCGCTTCTGGAAATTATACCAATTACAGACATGATAGACTGCAGTGAACGATTTGATGACTTCATGTTTTCATAGTTTCCCGAAGTACCCGGCTTTTATTTTGGTTTCCATACAAAGTTTGATCTCTTACAACGCGGTAAGTTTTTAAAACCGAATCAGCATTTAGCACAACTAACTGACCTAACTTAGATCCCCTATCAAAAGGAAAAATACGCTGAGAGAAGTTTGGTGCGTATCCATCATGTTGTAGTCATATCAACATATGTTAGACGACCAAAATCAAGAAACCTCAGCGATTCCCTGTTATCTTGTAGAAATCTATCTACTAAAACTCATTAATAATTCATCACCTTCAAGTAAAGAAAACCATAACAATGACGATGTTTGGATATCTGATCTCAGTAATTAGTAAAGATCTCTACGACTTTCTTTCTCCGTTTTCTCTTTAAAACGCAATCCCTATACCATCTAAGCTCATCTATTCTCGCGATGCAAAGCGCCTTTCCGTTGCAGGCAGAATAAACTGATTTTGCCCTTATATTTGGAAAACAATTTTTTGTGTTTATTTCTAAATGGTCGCAATCCTCATTTGCAAATGTTGTGTAAATTTTTAAGAGTAAAAGCAAACAATTTTCTAAGACAAATCTACCCCTTTTCTAGATCGATTTGACATAAAGGTCAAGCTCGCTGAATAAATTCCAATGTAAAGAATTTTCCTGGCAAAGAATATGATTATGAACTGTATTTTTTTGCTGATACTCAATACTAGCCAGTTGACTCTCAAGGCAGTGAATTAATTAAAGAAATATGCAAATTTAAACTGGAAAAAATTATTATTAATAATAATGAATTCTAGGTAAACTTGACTGAAACGGAATGTTAAAAAAAAAACCCAGCTTATTATCATAAATTCACTCGTAGCACCAGTTTTAGGTTACTAAGTCCATTTTTCTCCGTTTTTACTGATACCATAAAAAGGTTAAGTGATTTGTCTGTTTACGCAGACAGTGGCAAAAACTGGCTGATTAAAAATCTTTATTTCCGAAGCAAGTACAACGATTAAACGCTCAAAGAAGGAAAATAGTCATATTATCGACAATAGCAGGTGAATTTTTAGCTGTCCTGCCCCAGCGCATATTGTGTTTTATTATTCAAGAGATGAAAGAGCTTGTGATTTCATTGGACAGACATTTAAGCGATGTAGTGAGATTCATTGTACTCTCAGAGCAGGTGTAAATGATATGACTTCCTTAGGACGTGCTACAAATTAGACCTTTAATTAATACTTTTTAGAGCAGCCACTAAAACGAAAACTGCGGTCATTCGATGGACACGTAGTGCGAAACATTCATCGATAATACGCCGAAGATCGTCATGAAAACAGAGGTTTTGTTTGGCTCTGTTCAAAAACGAAAGAAGCATGGGCCTTTAACAGAGGAAGGGCTTAAAACTCTGGAATCTTTAATGGCGAGTGAACGAAAACTTCGGAGGAAAAATTCTTTGCAGAAATCCCAGCGAAAGGTCTCTCGAGTAAGCAGCTTTGCGAAAGACGAGGAATTGGACAAAATTTTGCAGGACATCGAGGTTGCCAATAAGTATAACCCTTCCTCCAAGAACGCTAAAAAGCGTCCGTCAGTTGGAGACGATGATGGTTTACCTCCAGACGAAGAACTAGACAAGTTCTTTGTGGATGTAGAAAAGCGGAATGCAGAATTGCAAGATTTGCTTCAAGCTGTAGAAAGCAAAAGAGACGAAAGCGACGGGCAATTGTCGAGGATCACCTCAGCTGGAGAGCGAGGCAGTACGGAATCATTAGTTGAGGAACTCATGAAAGAGTTAGACAGCGTTGATTGTGAGAAAAATAATTCAAATAGAACTAGAGAAATGCAAAAAAGCTCAAACAAGGTATCTAAGAAGATGGCGAACTGCAAGCTCGAGACAAGCGCTTCAGAACAAGAACTTGATCAAATGCTTGCAGAACTGTTGGAGCTGTGACTATATGGAAGGCACTCACGTCACTCAGTGTCAATCAATGTTGTAACTCTTATTCAGTTTGTAAATATATAGTTCCTTTTGATTATCTAGAGGAATTGAAAGGGAAGCAAACCGTCTATGACGAAGCTTGGTCGAATTTCAATCATTAAGAACTTAGCCCGTGTTTTTCTCAGTTCCTGTGCCTACATGTTATGGTGTAAAGTCGCTAAAAGTATTTTTGTTGTTGTTTGATATTGTGCGTATAATTTGTGTTACTTTAGCTGATTTATGATCGCTCTGCTTAGTTTGTTTCGCTGCTATTTATCTCGATTAAAAACCAAACCAAATCTCAATGTACAAATTTTACAAGTTACAAAATATATTTCCCGAATTTGTGTTTTTGAACAGTTTTGTTTGTGAATGGTTTTAGCGTACATGTGTTTGAAACAACGTTAAAACCTATACTGGATCAAACTTTTAAGTACTTAAATTTCTTCGTCCTTTGTTCGAAACCGAATATCAATAAAAAAAAAACTATTAGCTAATATTTCTGTAAAACAACGAATTTAACACAAATAAACGAGATTCATGTTGTTATCTTAAAAATGAAATTATTATGCGATAGTATATTCTCAAACAAAAATATTTTTGTTAGTTACATATCTCGCTTACATACGCTTCTTTTGATGACTGAATTTAAAATTGATGTGTCAATCTCGGCTCATTTTACCATGGTTTCAATCCATGCTGCTGAAACATGTTTCTTGTGTTTTTAAACTCCATTTTAGAGTCATTATATTGGGGTGTTATATATGGTCTCTAGTTAGTTTCTTTTCTAACGATATACAAGATTTTCAAAATCTTCATCGCGTCATAAGCATTTTGGTTCCAGTTTTATTGAGCTTTTTTCCAACTCTTTACAGGATACTTTTGTTGAACTTTAGGTCAAAGGGTCGATACGGTGAATCTTTCCAGCAAGACCACGTATAATTTGCGTATCGACAAAAAAAAAAAAATAATGATATTGTGGCTGACTGCTTCATGCTGCCAAAATCAGTTTGGCGTCGACCTAGCGAGCCAACTCGTCTTGAAGGCGACCTGATCTCATGATCAGTAAATGCTCCTCAAAAATTTAACTGAATCATCTCACATACGATGACACGATACGATTACGTTCAAGCCAAGTATTTAGCCAAGTTTAAGTTGTAGTTGTCACAAAAACAGCGGGAAGTCTGCGTCTGTGATTTGCAGGACTGAATTAATTTGGCTCTCCATATTAATACCAACAAAATTCCCATTACAAATTTTTGAAAATATATATCGTATTGTTTTTATATACACGTTATGCAACGTTTTCGAGTGGTATATACCATGGAATATCCCACGAGCCACTTGTATTTTCTCGCTATTCGTCATTTCCACATCCCCCATAATACACTTTGTTTGCTCCNAAGCATTGTCTTCAGTTTTTCTTGGGACCACTGTAATACCCAGGAGAAATGGGAAACAAAGGTTATGCAGGATTTTGGGAGCAAACAAGGTGTATTATGCGGGATGTGGCAATGGCGAATTAATACACACATGACCATTTAGGCGAGTGTGGATAACAAGAAAATACAAATGACAAGGGGGATTTTCCTAGTATACCACGAGAGAACGTTGCATAATTATAACTATTTTATACCACGCCATAGAAAATGATGTGGGCAACACAGTTAATACGACATACGCGTCCGCGGCTGGGAAGGTTTGGTGTAATGACGTCTTTCCTGTATTCTGATTGGCTGCATTTTCTATAGCATGGTACAAAGACAAGAGTAAGGCTAAAAAATATAAAATGTTAACGGATGTTTACGACAATGAACATAATCCAGAGAATAACAGAGTCGAAAACATTCGAGGTTCATTTGATTATCATAAACTTTCAGTCTTAATCTAATGAATATATGTGCACTTCATTTTGTCTTTTAAGGGGATATTATGTCATATATTCTACTGAAGAATATTTTGTTCCAAGGCTCCACGTACCAAAAGTTGTTAATTAGAAGAAAAATATATTCACTTTGATCTGTTTAAAGTAACATGCAAAATGTAATCGAGATAGTCTAACCACCAATGACAAGCTAGTCTCTACATATTTGTTTTATTTCCCGTTGATGCAGTTCAAATATATGAAAACAGGTGTCTAAGGCCAGTTCTCGTCAACCTAGGTTGTTTTCAATATATTTGAATCAACTGAGCCATACGTGGTATTCTGTGACTACAACTCGCCGATTTTACGTGTCCCTATTGGCTTAAACAGGTCACGTGCACAGATCATGGGAGGCGGGAAAAGTCGTGTGGCAGACCCAAGTGAAAGATAAACGAAGATTTCCGAACAATGACTGAAACAATTACGAAAACATTGTTGTTAGCCTTTCCTGTTGCTTGAATTACGACAACTAAAAACAGCAGATATCCCGTCGACGCTAATAATATATCATCTTTAGCCTGTCCTCAGCTTCGGCCAGCTTGTTGTTAATTTGCACAGCCTATGCTGGGGAATCTTTTAACTCGCGATAAATCATCAGGTCAAATATCATTGCATCCCATTCAGCAGACCAATCTTGGGATAAACTCCTTTAAATCCATAACAATACCACAATTATATAGCTTGGTAATGTCTTTATATTAATTTGTTTTCCTCTGAGTACTGAGTTAACTTTCATGAACAGATGACTTGTTAAATTCATCCGGAATGTTCTGTTCATCATTGACATCCATACTGTAAACCCACGCAAAAATCTCTGTTATTGCATTTTCCTCAGAAAAAACTGAAATTTGCGAATCGCCAATAGAATCCTCATCTAGGTTTCCACTGCTAAGGAGATTGATTTCACTACGTTCTTGTCTTGCGGAAGCGAAAGGCATCAAAATTTCCGATGGAAAATTCTTTGTGATTTCAGTCACGTAAATTGGTTGCAATGCCTCCCTTGCTGTTGGTATACAGATTTCTTGGTCGCTCATTAAATGTTTGCCAGCTTTTGTAAACAATCTCCGTCCAGGTTGAAAGCACTTGACTTTACTCTGATCTCGCGATCGCAAGACACAAAAGGATTTCTTTCCGCATGCTCTCAGCTTGAAATTCTTGCACATGCCGCGGGCGAAAAGCTTGCAGAAGAACTTGACAATTCCTGTACATAAGATAGGAAAATAAAACTTTGTCAGCTGTGTGATACATTTTTAAATATCAGTCACAGCTGCGAGGGCCTGTGGTAGTTACGTTAGAGGCAATGATTGGGTGAGAGACGAGATTTGTTGATGAGTTTCAAATACAATTTGCTATTTTAAATTCTGATTCACATTTGTTTTGGAATGGAAACACTTGATCAATTCTGTATCTCTCACCCATTTATCACATTAAAAATCTGCGGCGTAACCCGCTTTTAATTTGCCCACGATTTCCGTCAGTGTACTCGTCGGCTTCAAGTCAGTAACGACCAAACGTCAGCTAGTTTTTCAGCGTTCACCCACTATTAAAAAGGCGACTCTCAAGGCTTGGAACATGAGATGAGTGAAAACATGAAAACTGCAAGTTAATGAAAATACTAACCCATTGTATTGCTCAAGGTATATTTCATGAAGTTCACTGTTGACGAAGACCTAAAAAAGTAAAATTTCTTTATACAGTGCTTTTGTCTTCATCCATGAAAAATGTCGAGACGCCTTCTCGGATATCTGTCAACAATTTGTTCTGTTACCGTGTCATTTGAACTGTAAAAGGTAAAACCAAGGGGAAAATTCCAAGTTGCTTTTCCACTCAAAGATACCTTTGCGTGGATCGACAGACCACTGAATGTAGGAATTAAAATAAAACTTGTCTTGAAATATGCGCGATTGTACTGCGGGAAAACTAGCAGCCAATGATAGTGGGAATTCGCTATCCTTGGCCTTTAGGTTATTGACCGCAAACCTCACGGAGTATCTTCCCGCTTTCATCTAAGCCGCTTTACGTCATTGCAGCTAAGTCGTTCACTT